TGTGCTGTATTTCCTGTTGAAGCCCATTGCCATACCATAAACCCACATTCTTCACACTTCCATGCTGGAAGAGACCAGATGGCCCTGCCAAACAAGCAGGCAGTCACGAACAGAATGAAGTTTGGGGGGTCATGTGACTGCGGGCGTGGTTTTCCAGACTTCCAACCTATCTCCTCAAAGCTCCCATGGCAACTAACCATTGACCACATCCCCTGTCTACTCGTGATTGGCTGCATGGCCACGGCTAGTCATGATTAGATTGGGCTATAATTGTCTGATCCCTTGGAGGGAGCTCTCTCTGTTCCGGTTCTGTTCCTGCTTGTGAGCTCTCTGATGGGACACTTGAAATGCTGTCCTGCCATGTGGTCCCTTGGAGAACAAAGGATCCCTTTGTGCCTTAGAGCACATGAAGGCAAGGAGGGGATATTCCTCCTCAAATCCCCTTGGGGATACCTGGACTATAACAATGGACAATCTTGGACTATGGATTCCTGAAGTTGGTAATTATACATATCTCTTACTGTGAAGTAAGGCAAAAACTTGCCTAGACTTTGTTATTTTGAAATCCTTCTAGTCTGTGCTAAATTCTCTACTGAATAAACGTATCCTGGTTTATAACTTCTGTACTAGCAGTAAAGCCCGTTGTGGAAATAAATACAACGGGATCTAGAAAGAGGCTCTGGGGGAGTGCTCTGGCTTTGGGCAAACAGTGTCATTTTGCTGTGGTGACCTCAGCAGGGTATAATGACAGAGTCCACTGTTTTCTCCAGAGGAACTGATCTCTGCTCCCTGAAGAGCAGTTGTAATTTTGAGTGATCTGTAGCCCTCACCTGGAGATTGGCAACAATTGTTACCCAGGATGAAATGGCTGGTTTGGAGGGTGGAGTCTATGGCATTCTACCTGTCTGAGGTCCCACCCCTCCGCAAACCCCACCCTCTCCAGGCTCCACCCCTCAAATCCCCAGGAATTTGCCAGCCTGGAGTTGGCAACCCCATCTCCTTCCCAGCTAACCATCAACCTACCATTATCTGCCCCTTTGACTTCAGCTGACTTCCGCCCTCCCTTCTGCAGAGCAATTGTAATTTTGAGTGGTCTCCAGCCCTCACCTGGAGATTGGCAACAATGGTTCCCCATGAGGGACTGAGTGGTTTGGAGGGTGGAGTCTATGGCATTGTACCTGTCTGAGGTCCCACCCCTCCTCAAACCTCACCCTCTTCAGGCTCCATCCCTCAAATCTCCAGGAATTTCCCATCGGGAGTTGGCAACCCTATCAGGATTGGCCCCAATATGTTTTCTCCCAAAGGCCAAAGTAGGCCTCCAAAGCAGCCATTTTCTCCAGGGGAAACTGATCTCTGTCATCTGGTGTCTTTTGAGTGGCAGTGTCTTTTGAGTGGCAGTTTTTCCGGCCTAACACTAAAGGGGCCAAATTTAGAATGTTCATATAGAATGTTCTTACTCAATTATATATAAGGAGAGATTGTTGTAGCTGAATTCCAAGTCTTTTTCCTGTGCCTACCTGGTCACACGCTACCCTTGAGCATTAAGTGTACATCTCTGAGGAGGTGCTAGTGTGTACAACCCAGATGCCAACTGAGATTTTGTGGATCTCTAATCTCAGGCTGGCGAGGGATTAAGTAGAGATCCTGGTGGCTATTGTTTTGAAATCCAGAGAGGGTAGCATACTTCTCTGGGTTGTTGTTAAATGTATGAAAAAGTGTAGGCTTCTTCCCTCATTCCTGGACAGGGGTGGGGGCAGGATCCTATACAAGTAGTACTCAGCACTGAATTTCAAATATGAAACATACGAAGCTCACAGATAAATCTTTGCCAACTGTCGACTTTGTGCCAAAATTTCCTTCATGACTCTAACACTGACCTACTTGCACACTGGGTTCTTCCAGATCGTGGCCTCCACGTGTACCTATTTTGGCCATCCACGTATTATGTTCACAAATAACAAAGTTGTATGCACAGAAGTACATTAAAACAAAATTTCAGAAGTTAGTTAGAAGAAATAAGCCACCCTGTAAACAGGTTCTCACTGGAGTATTGCCATCCCTTGTGGATAAACCCATGATCAAGGCAAACACATCGTTTTAATTGTGTTATTGATGATCACAAATCTTAAATACCCGTTTGATAAACACCTTAGCTGTTCCACAGCAAACATCCCATTAACCCTGCAAGACCACAACATTTCATCCCATTCTCCAAACATTGTTAACTATTGCATGACCAAAAACAAACTTCTGGGGACAACTGTAACAGCTAGCACAATGTAGTGGCAAACTAGGATCTGAGAAATCCGGGTTTGAATCCCCACTCTACCATGGAAACTCACTGGGTGACCTTGGGTCAGTCACACACTCTTAGCATAACCTATGCCAAAGGGATGTTGCAAGGATAAAATGGTGTAAGCTGCTTTGGGGAGAAAATCGGGGTATAAATATTTAAGGTTACAGTCTTAAGAACACATTCTTGGGAGTAAGCACCACTGAATAAAGTGGGGCTTACTTCAGAGTAGACCAATTTAACCTTGCTCACTAATTGAAATGAATAAATGAAAGGGCAAGGCTATTCTGCTAAGGGCTGGTTAGTTTTCGACACTGCCAGTTAGATTCTAATGAATAAGAGAGGAAGCCGCCATATTGAACTCCCTTGATCTGAGGGAGAAGAAGAGTTGGATTTACATCCCACCCTGCACTCAGAGTAGCTTGCAATCTCCTTCCCTTCCTCTCCCCACTACAGACACCCTGTGAGGTAGGTGGGGCTGAGAGAGCTCTGAGAGAACTGCTCTTGAGAGAACAGCTCTGAGAGAACTCTGACTGACCCAAGGTCACCCAGCTGGCTGCATGTGGAGGACTGGGGAATCAAACCCGGTTCTCCAGATTAGAGTCTGCTGCTCTTAACCACTACACCAACTGGCTCTGAGGGAGAAGCGTAAGGTTTCCACAGATTTTGAAGACACAGGGGTTAAAACATTTTACAGGTTTTAAAAAAATATATATGCAATGTTTACTTTCTTATGAATCCTAAACTTCTTTTACTGATTTAACATAAAACACGTAATTTAGATCTTAGTTAACATATAAAATTGTATTATTTGGCATATTAATGGGATTTAAAATTATAAACATCCTTGATTTCTATAAGAAAAATTGCAGGTATACCTGATACTTGAGAAAGAGTTGCAAACTGCTACACCCTACGCTACCCTAGCACGTCTCTTTAATTTTTGCCATCTGAAGCAGGGAAAAAAAATTGAAGGTAGACGGCCGATTCTGTAGTAAACAAAAGAAAGTGTACAATTTGGGCAGAAATGGTCATACACTCACAACAGAGGACTATCAACATATTTGGACATTTTTATAACACTGAACTCTCTTAATAGTGTCCAGATGGTCAGCTGCATTGGTCTGAAGGCACACAAAAGCTCATGCCTCGAATAAACCTTTGTTGGTCTTAAAGGTGCCGCTGGACTCTAAATTTGTTCTCTGTGTGTTATCATTCAACATATTATAGCATATTAACTGTTGCCAAAATTATTTACATTTAAACCCAATAAATTCTTGAGAATATTTTATACTTCTACCGTCTACACAGGAATTATCATTATGTAATGCTGTAGATTGTTTTACATAAAATTCTTCATGCTACACATTTGGAGTGAAACATCTTTCATTTCACTTATTGCAAAAAGAAAAAAAAATCATTTTTTTTTTAAATGTTCCCTAAACTTCCCAATATTTCACCTGGAAAAACTGGAAAAAGTCCATGGCCTTTTTCATGTAATGTGTTCAGTGTGAAAAACCTTGCCTTATGAAGCATTTCACTCATTCTAAAAAGAGAAAATATTTCATAGGAATTATTTTCTGTATTCCCTAAAACTTCCCATTGGAAAAACTGGGGGAGGGGAAAGTCCTTGAAAGAACTCACCTGCTTTCCCCCTGAACCTTTCTGTTTTGGGGCTCCACATCTCTGAATCTGAGGTAATAAGGCGGGGTATATTTTAAACAAATAAATGAATAATTCCAAAACTGAAGCACACTTAATGAACTCAGCCTACTCATTCTCTCTCAGCGTAGCCTAAATTACAGCTGTTTTGAGGAAAAAATGGAGGAGAAAAGAATCACATATGCCACCCTGAGTGGGTTAAATGTGTAATAAATAAAACTGGGACCTAAAGTCCATATTTGGCTTAAGAAATGTGGCAGGAACATGTGCTGAAAGCTAGGCCTGGCCTTGCTTTCACAGACCTAAATATGGCTCCCAAATGATCTCTCTTCTGCACAGTTCACAGACAGACCCACACCACTTCAGAATGCGCTTGAAGACTTCAAGACTTTCCAACTCCCTAACAGCACAAAAGCACTTGAAGCCAAAGAAAACACAATGCACGCCACTAAAAGATATTCACTTACAGTTTATTTTTTTTCTCGCCTGAAATTATTTCACATCTCTTTGTACACAGCTACAGAACAGTAGTAGTAAACCATCGGTAAAAGCAACAGTGCTAAGGATAAAATGTTGGCATTAGTTTCTCTTCTTTTTCTTTTCTCTTTTTTTTTCCTTTTTCTTTTCTTCCCTCACTGAGTTTTATCATACAGCTTGGGATGTAAGGCAGAAAAGCAAATGAACAACAACAAAATAATAATAATCTGGCACGCTTTATGAATTAAGACTTAAACCAATTATGTTTTTTTTTTCTTTTGGAAAAAAACAGAAGGGAATCAAGAGACAAAGGATACCAATGTGTGAACAAGCTACCTAGTGACACTTTTTTGTTTTTAAAAAAAGTCAACCAGCAAAAGCTTCGCTTCCCATTGTATACGATTAAATATATATATTTATATATATATTTATATATATGTATAAAAATTACTTTGCTTGGATGTTAAATCTTTGAGGTGTCAAAGATCTGGATAAAACATCTGCTAAACTCAAAGAAAACACAAAACAAAACCTTTATTTTGATTTTTTCTGTTTTTAAAAAAGCCGCTGTGTTCAAAGAATGCTTACTGTGAGAGAGAATAAAACCCAAAGGCATATTTATTAAAAGAAACCAACATAAAAAAGTTTCATAATTTTGCTGAGCAACGGTAGAAGAGGATCAGGAAATGGTCAGTGACCCATACTTTCTGGTTGAGTTAAGCGAGACTGATCTGTAAAGAAGTCGTGATTCGGTCTTCTTAAATGAACATGCCAAATTTACCTGAACATGAGGAAAGGAGAGAACTTGCACAACGCACCAAATTTGCTTTTGAAATATTGGACGTAAACAGAAGGTTTCCCATCCAGGGAAATCTAACACATCAGATTGATAACTCAAATTAAGATCCACAGAAAAATTAAGATTTTCATTTAATTTTTTTTTAAAAAAACTAACCCTGAGGTGGTTTCCTCTCCACCCCTAATTACCTAACCCCCCAGAAGGTTGAGAGTGATTGGAAGTGTACATCTTGGGTAATTTAGAACCTATATCCAACTTGCCCACTCCTTTTTTCATTGTCTAGACAGATATATACTTATTTATATGCCTATTTCCCGCTCCCCTTTGAGGCCTCTGTAAATCAGAAATGCAGCAGGGACAGAGACACTGTGAAATACAGTTTTGCATTATTAAAAAGAAATTATTTAAGGAGGGCTTTCTGCCTTTTTTTTGGAAACAAACAAACACAAACAATAAGACGGCAAACTACTTTTATACAGTACTATATGCAAAACAAACTGGAGGGGGAAAAAAGATAAGAGAATTAACAATTCATAAATAAAAGACAGGTCCCAGACCTGTTAGTTGTGAACCATTTTTTTTAAATAGGTGCATTATGTAAATCTTATGTACAACAAAATTACTTTGCATAATGATTGCAAGGGACAGAACAAGAGGTGCAGATCATAACACAGTTCTGTTTCTTCTCCTGATTTCTCTTACCCCCCCACCCACCTCCCGCACTTTCTTAAGAGCTGGAAAGATGGAAAAGCACCTACAGGGTGAGGTCCATCCACGAAAACTAAGAAAAACTGGTGTACATTGTCATTTTTTTTCCAGATGGCATTTAAAAAAAAACACAAAACACAAAAGGCAAATGAAAATCCGCACAGAGTACTTGTCCCCACTCCCCTCTAATCTTCTCTTGCAGCTACAGGGTCTTTTCTTTTCTGTCCCCCCCCCCAATTAAAATTATGTTGAATTTCATAGTACGAAGCTGGAAAAAAATTAGAGACAGGATCTGGCCATGGCTCAGCCCCCCCCCCCACGCAAAAGCCACTTTGCTACCTCACAAACACAGCTCCTAAAATCGAAGTCCTCGGAACTCATTGCTCTCTACAGGTAGAAGCTGAAAGTTTTATTTCTCTGCTTTTTTGTTTCAAAAATCTCTCCTCCCCCCCTCCATGTTGAAAACTGGAGATACAGCAAGAAGGAGATTTCACCATGCTTCTGTATAACGCACGTCCACTTCCTTCAGATTGGGCAATTTAGCCTGAGGGAAAAGAGAAAGAGACACCTGTTTTTAGATACCCACAAAAACACTGTAAACTGGTGCATAAGTGTATGAAGCAATCCTAAGCAGGTCTACTCAGAAGTAAGTCCCATGTTATTCAACAGGGCTTACTCCTTTGGATTGCAGCCTCAGGAAGTTAACTCCAACACTAGGCAACAGGCCTGATATTTACAAAAGATGATGCCTAGGGTTAGGATCCAGGCTGCTTTTTCACTCAATCTCACCTAACCATCCTCCTTACTACAGATCCCATGTTAAACGCAGCACAGACATTTTTGGTGGTGGAACTCTTTTTCCCTTTTTTTTTTTTTTGCCAGCACAGACGCTGGATTCATCCAACCCAGGTGGCGGCTACAAGCATGGATGGCTTCAAGAGGGAATTAGATAAACATATGGAGTAGAGGTCTATCAGTGGCTATTAGCCACAAGGTATAGATAGGTGGTGCCAGCTGGTTAGTTACAGGTTTGTGGCACTTCTTCCTCCCACAGCCAGAGGGCTGGAGAAAAATCTGGCTTATGCTACTTACTGCGGCTGACATTTTGGAAGTGGCAGAATTTGCATCATGTTGGTTATTTCGTTATAGGAACTGAAACAGGTGTGAGTTACCTCACATAGGCACTGCTTGCTACTTATAATTTCTTAAGGCTACATTTAGGAATCTTATAGTCATCTTCAAGCAGCAGCAGTAATTGCTCTTTCCCGTCTCCACGTCTTCTAAGTAGGTATGATTTGACTAGAAAAAGTTGAATAGCCATATCGGTCCTTGCAGAATCCAAAAAGAACAATATTTGTGTCACACTTTTGAGTGGAGCCACCAAGTCAGCACGAAACATGGCGCAACCTTTGGTGCTCACCGGAGTTCTTCACCAGCCTGGATGCCACGAAATCTGAAAAAGTACGAATCCTCGGGCCATGATCTTGATGTCTGATCATGCAGGCATTCTTTGGGGAGTGACTAAGGCAATTAGCTCCTTCCTTCCGCTGCTGAGGTGTAGAGTTAGTTACAGAATGGTCTCTGGGAGGCTGCATGCTCGACTGGGTCATGTATCATGTGGCCACTGATTGGCAGAGGAACAACATGGCTGCTCTGGCATTTGCAACTTCAAGAGCAGAATTAAGCCGTTGCCCACAAAGCTTGGCTTACAAGGCAGCAAGGGGATATTTACAAACCCTACTTTTTAGGACAGCCCCCATGTAACTTTTTTTAAAAAAAAAAAAAAAGAAAGAAGAAGAAGAAGAGAAGAAGAGATTGGATTTATACCCCGCCCGTCACTACCCAAAGGTGTCTCAGAGCGGCTTACAAACTCCTTTCCCTTCCCCTCCCCACAACAGACACCCTGTGAGGTAGGTTGGGCTGAGAGAACTCTTGACAGAAACTGCTCTTTTTCAAGAACAGCTGTGCCAGAGTTATGGCTTGCCCAAGGTCATCCAGCCAGGTGCAAGTGGAGGAGTGGGGAATCAAACCCAGTTCTCCCAGATTAGAGTCCGCGCACTTAACCACTACACCAAACAGGTAACAAATAGGACTTTGATCAGCTCAGGAGCTGGGACTTGCAGATTTTAGGACAAGTCCCCCATACTTTGAACATTGGCTTGGGCTGCCAAACATGCAACATGGCTGCCCTAGGCAGACAGAATGTTTTCCACATGACCTTTCCTCCCCAGTATGCCTCCTGCAGCTGTGGAAACTGGACGTACCTTGAGATCCTCATAAGTGTCAGCTGAAAGTTTGGTGCTGTTCATATTTAAGCTGCACAGGCTCTTCATAGCTAAGAAAGAATCAAATATTACACTGTTACAGACAGATGCCTACATACAGACCAATGTCTTAACCCTGACTCAAGGCAGATCTATTGCGGCCGCTGGTTTAAAAGCCAGCTTAATTTTTTTTTTAAAAAAACCTAACTGATCTGGTCTTGGGAAGTCATTCACTACCAAGATGTTCTCTGTAACCAGTGTTCCCTCTAAGCTGAGTTAGTGTGAGCAAGCTCACAGTTTTCTACCCTCCAGCTCACACATTTTTGTCTTAGCTCAGGAAGGATGGCTCCAGAGCAAACTAATTTATGCAGTAGCCAAATCACCTGCTCACAACTTTAATGCCAGTAGCTCACAAAGTAGAACTTTTGCTCACAGGACTCCACAGCTTAGAGGGAGCATTGTCTGTAACCATGAAACTTTCCTAAATGCAATCTTGAGATTCTGAGATCATGCAAAAAACAAAAGTTTGCATTAGAAATCTGTTGCGCAGTGTGAGAACTCAGCCCTTGCCCACTGCCTTTTCTTTCTCTTTAACCAGTTTTGATAGGGAAGGAAGGTGGCGCGGTATAGCCTGATCTTAATCGGCTCTCAGAAGCTAAGCAGCTTGGGTACCTGGATGTGAGACCACCAAGGAAGACTCTGCAGAGGAAGGCAGTGGCAAACCCCCTCTGCTTCTCACTTGCCTTGAAAGCCCTAGCTGGGGTCAACCATAAATCTGGTTGCGACTTGATGGCACTTAACGTACATACCAATTTTAATCTATGGGAGGCCCCACAGGGACCATGTATCTGAGCCACCAGATTCGGGCCCCAGTAAGTATGTGTTTGATATTGAGGATCTGAAACCTTCCCAAACACTCAAGTGTTAGAAGAGAAGACATTGGATTTATAACCTGCCCTTCACTACCTGAAGGTGTCTCAGAGCGGCTTACAAACTCCTTTCCCTTCCCCTCCCCACAACAGACACCCTGTGAGGTAGGTGGGGCTGAGAGAGCTCTGGACAGAAACTGATCTTTTTCAAGAACAGCTCTTATCAGAACTACGGTTTGCCTAAGGTCATCCAGCCAGGTGCAAGTGGAGGAGTGGGGAATCAAACCCGGTTCTCCCAGATTAGAGTCTGCGCACTTAACCACTACATCAAACTGGCTCTACACAAATGCTGTCCTGCTGCCTACACTTTGCAAATGAGGAGGAGGAGGAGACTGGATTTATACCCCGCCCTTCACTACCCAAGGGAGTCTCAGAGCGGCTTACAAACTCCTTTCCCTTCCCCTCCCCACAACAGACACCCTGTGAGGTAGGTGGGGCTGAGAGAGCTCTGACAGAAACTGCTCTTTTTCAAGAACAGCTCTGCCAGAACTATGGCTTGCCCAAGGTCATCCAGCAGGTGCAAGTGGAGGAGTGGGGAATCAAACCCAGTTCTCCCAGATTAGAGTCTGTGCATTTAACCACTACACCAAATGAGTATTAGTGCAGTGGTTGTGAGAGACTTCTATCTAATTAACAGCACAATCCTACACAGAGGTTACATCCTTCTAAGTCAACAAAAGTCACTGGGTCTTCAAAAGCTGTAATTCTGCTCAAGACGGCTCTCTAAGAGGGTGCTGATCTAAGCTCCCAAACCTCTCCACCGTTGTTTCTTTGTAAACACTCTTTTTGCTTTGCAACCTTTAGGGCGCATTATGAAATCAGAAAATTAACAGCAAGTCTGGACCCTTTCAGAAGACCAACTGCTGCTTTCAGCAGTTGTGACCCCCCCCCCATGCTATAGTTTCATTTTAACACATGCAGCAAACACACGGTGGATTCATTGATCCATAACCCGCTCAGGGACCCTGAGAGCAGCTCTGCCCACAAAACTACACACAGCCCGAGACCTGGGTCCGGAAGTCTTTGTTCTAAAAATCAGAAGGATCCAACTTTCAAACCAAGCCATAAAATCTCTGCAATGCCTCATGACCCCGACGGGGAACGTGGCAGCCCCCACTTGAGGAATCTGGTACAAGAGCCAGATGATTCTGAGCTCTTGAATGGTTAAGGGAGGCATTGATGCAGTTGTGATCATAGCGTCTGTAGTGCAGTTGTAATCACAGCATTTTCTCTGGACCAGTTCATTTGGAATACCAGCCCTCGGAGTGGATTCATCTCCACAGCTCGCCCTCAACATGCATCGAAATGGCTCGTAATCACCTGCAAGTGCAGCTCTGCTGAGGAGAATGGCTGATTGTGCTCCCTTTCCCTCCTCAATCCAGCCCCCTGACCCACAACACCCGTTCCTCCACAGGGGTCCCATAACCCCAGGAATTATCTGTTGGGGGGGGAGAGAACTGTGGGGAGGGAGAGGAACACAGAAAAACTCGGTGCATACAGATGTTTGGGTACAAGTCTCTGAGCGAGATTCAAGTCTAGAGGCTTTTGAGAGTCAACTGTGCCTTCATCTCGGAAGCTTAAGCCCCAGAAATCTTGTCGGTCTCTAAGGTGCTATGGGAACCCGAATCTTGCTCTCCTGCTGCAGACCAGCATGGCTGCCCACCGGAAAGCCTCTGAGCCCCATCCCTGGTAAACTCATTTGCTCCCCACGACCCCCATCCCTGGCCCCGCATCAGACCCCTTATCTATTCACTTACAGCTCAGTGCCAACAATCCAGCGTCCGTTACAGGGGTTTCACACAAATTGAGCACCTGCAGCATAGTGAGGTGTTCAGAGAGAAGCCGCAAACCCGCATCTCCAAACTACGAAGGGAGAAAAGACACAACAGTTTTTGTTGATGTAGAATCGGAGTGTTGTCAAGAACACAAGCCATCTCTCAATATCCCAGTTTTGGACAGCAAAACAACAGAGGAATGGGACTTTGGCCCTCAAGCTGAGTTCGCCCGCTTCCCGGGGGCAGCTGTCTGGCCAGCTTTGGAGCAGAACAGGGGACTAGGCCAGACTTTGGGACTTGCATTCTGTCATACAACAGAACTCCTGAATTTGGGTCAGAGTATTATAGTTGTAGACAGAAAACTGGGCAGTGTGTTTGCAAGTGTGTGGGGACGGGTTTTCCAACGCATCTTGAGCACACTTCACCCAGTGCGGTGTAATGCTTAGAGCAGAGGTGTCAAACTCATTTATCATGAGGGCTGGATCATAAATGTCACTTTGTTGGGCCGGGCCATGTGTGCCATATAATGTAATGCCAGGTACCGGAAATATAAACTTTATAAAGGACACGGGCAAAACCAATTCACAATATTATTTTTTAATCAAAATACAAACAAAAGTGATCGATCCCTAGCAGTAAAAGCAATTGATTGACTGGGGAGCCCACAAAACCCCCAATAAATGTTTTTAATCACATGCAAGACTAGATTTTTTCTAAGGGATACCATAAAAGGGGGAGTACCTTACATTTCCATCCATACCAGTTGCTTGTGAGCTGGGTAAGAGCCCTGGACGGGCCTGGTCTGGCCCCCGGGCCTTATGTTTGACATCCCTGGCTTAGAGTGTCGGTCTAGGATCCAGGAGACCCAACTTCAGATCTATGCTCTATCATGGAAGCCCACTGGGTGGGTGGCCTTGGGCCAGGCACACATTCTCAGCCTAACCTACCTCACAGGGTAAAAGGGAGGAGAGGAGAACAAAGTAAGCTGCCTTGAGTTCCCGTTGGGGAAAAAGGCAGGTTACAAATGAAAGGCGGATTATAAATCAAGGAAGGAAGGAAGGAGGGAGGGAGGGAGGGAGGCCCCCCTCTGTAGTCCTATTGACACATCCGGTAATCTCAGAATGGGCTTCCCCAGAGACCTTCCTTCTGGGCTGCAGGTAGCGAACCACGTACCTGAGTTGACCACAGGTTCAGCTGCTTGAGCGAAGGCAGCTTGATGAGATGCTCGGCGCAGGCACTCGTGACGTTGGTGAAGGCCAGGCTGAGGTTCTCCAGGTTTCCAAAGGAGCCCGAGCTTAACAACCGGGCAAGGTCAGCGTCCTAAGAGAGAAGGAAACGTGGATCAGATGTGGAGAACAGCAAGCAAGGCTCACTAAGGGTAGGAGGCTTGGTAAGCTTGTAAAACCTACACACACACAAACACATACACTGTGCCATTCCTACTATGCACTGCTGGCTGATTGCTAAGGGGTGGTGCTGCTTGCGTCACACCTAGCCCAGCAGTCCAATGGGGATTGATAAAATAGAGGATGGGAGAAAGATGTAAGTTGTAAGTAAATATGTACATCAACAGACAAACTCACACACACACACATACTTTATACAATATACTAAAATACGTGTGTATATGTGGAGGGACCATGATTCAGTGATTGAGTGCCTGCTTTATACGCAGAAGGTCCTTGGTTCAATCCCTGGCATCTCCAGTTAAAAAGATCAGATAGCAGGTGATGTGGATTTGACTTGAGACCCTGGAGAGCCGCTGCCAGTCTGAGTAGACAATACTGACAGAAAGCAATTTTCTCCAGGCCAGTTTAGCCAGGAACCCTGGAAGGTTTTTTTTTTTTTTTTTGGCCATCTTCTGGGCATGGAGCAGGGGTCACTGGGGATGTGGAGGGGGAGGTAACGGTGAATTTCCTGCATTGTGCAGAGGGTTGGACTAGATGACCTCCGAGGTCCCTTCCAACTCTATGATTTTATGGCCTTGATGGACCAAGGGTCTGATTCATTGTAAGGCAGCTTCATGTGTTTGTGTGTGTGTGTGATTTTACTTCATTTACGGCCCACCTTTCTTGCTGACACTCAAGGCAAATTACGTAATTCCAAACAATGTAATAAGAACAACAGAAAATTTACAACCAACAGTGAACAAAATTGGATTACGAAATTAAAGAACAAGGTGCTAAAACATAGAAGGATATCTATGGAGAATGTAACAGAGCTGAACTTCAAAAATCAGCAAATAATGCAATGAACAGTGTAATACATAAATGTAACAATACAGAGGAAAACAGTCTACATTTCACAGATGTTAAGCAGCCTTATAATACCCCCCTTGACAGTTCTGTTTTATGCATTCTGGGGCACAGTAACAGCAAGCAAGCTTTCCTGCCCTCCTCAGGCATCCCATTCTACCCTGTGGAAGCCATCAGTGAAAAATGCTTGGGATAGGCAGCTGCTGACCTTCTCACCACTCAGAACAAGTTATGCAGAACAGAATGCAAGGAAAGAAAAGAAAAATGCCCCGTTTTTATTTACTTAAGCGTTTATGACTTGCCTTTCTACAGAACGGTACCCAAGGTGACTGATAAAAATAAGAGGGGAAAATACAAGAAAATGTGCTGTTGACACCAAGGAAGGAGAGATGCCCCCATTTCACCAAGTTGCCCAGATGGCATTTCTTTTCTTTTTTTGCATTTTTGCAATAATGATGAGGACTAGAAGCTCATTTATCGGGATGTCAACTTAATGTCTTTACATCCCAGCTGCACTCTCATGGCTGCACAATCTTTACCTTGTACACAAACCCACATCTAAATGAAAAAAAATCATCAGGTCAAGCCAAGAGCAAACTTTAATATCTTCAACTCCAATCCCAACACCGTTCAGGAGTAATAATAATTTCATCGTCTGCAGAGAAAGAAGCACGGTTCTCCTTTCTTTGCCTCTCATCCCCCCCCCCGCCACCAAGTGTCACCAGAGAACTCAAACGGGGACGCTGACAGCCAGACTCTGGGTGGTTTCACCCTGTGCGCCCCCAAGGCCGCTAGATCAAGGAACTTCTGGCCTGCTATATTTTTCTGTTTTGATTAGGTGATACCGCTGGAGATGACCAGAGGGTGGTATCGCCTCTTGGCAGAAGTTAGGTGACACAAGGGATCAGCCGGGTCACACCTTTCAACCTAGACGGCCTGGGAGTCTGGCTCTGCTCTTACTTCTAGGGGCTAACGCCCAAGCCGTCATCAGGCTTCCCCGAACTCGCTCCCCCTGCTTCCCTGCTGACCAGCCTGGCTGTTTTGCCAGTCCGTTTCCCTGCCTTGCCTCACCAAACCGCCAGCCGGGACACTTTCCAAATGAACCTGGCGAGAGCTCCAGTGTGGCTTGGGCTCTGCTCTGGAGCGTACGCAGCCTAACAAGGAATCCACATGTAAAATTCACTGCTTTCTGATGACCGTTTAGAAGGGCGAGAAACATTTTTTTCCAGCGTGCTTTTATCACATCACACAATTTTTTGTTTGGGAAAAAAAGAGAGAAGTACACAACTCACTGTGGATTTGGATGGCAGTGTTAACCTGGTAGGCCCTCCTTTCCTTTGCTGTAACAGAACACAGTGTTTAATTTGCTAACTGAGCTGATTTTTCATCACCAGCAATCTCAAACAGTGAGCAGCTAACATGCCGAAGGAGCACTCTGCACCGCAGTTCAGGGATGTACCACTGGGTTGCAGCCTATGGGGCGCTGCAAGGTGTGCGCATGTGTGTAAAGTAAAGGTAAAGGTTCCCTTGCTCGAAAGCCAGTCGAGTCAGACTCTAGGGTTGTGGTGCTCATCTCCGTTTCAAAGCCGAAGAGCCAGCGCTGTCCGAAGACATTTCCGTGGTCATGTGGCCGGCATGACTAAACACCAAGGCGCACGAAACGCTGTTACCTTCCCACTGAAGTGGTAACTATTTATCTACTTGCATTTTCTTGCTTTCGAACTGCTAGGTTGACAGGAGCACATGTGAGTAGATGATGCCTAAACTATTTCTGCTACTATAATGATGCTTTGCTGGGATTTTAAAAAATGCCATGTCTCCTAATAAGTAAATCAATAGAAATACAACAAAATGGTAACAAGCAGGGTGCTTCTGCATGGAGCCCGCTTTTTGGGGGGGGGGGGTCAAGTGTGCCGAATCATTGCATGATTCATGACAAACATAGGTCAGCCTGACCCACATGATCCTATGCCCGTCTAGGCAGCAGGAGTGGGTGGATCGTAGCTGGTATACATACAGCCTTATGATGGAAAGGCACACACATCTTTTAAGGTGGATTAGGTAAGATTCAGGGACAATGAGGTCTATCAGTGGCTACTAGCCATGGTGACAGAAGGGAACCTCCACAGTCAGAGGCAGTCAGCCTCTGAATACCAGTGCCGGGAAGCAACGTCGGGAGATGGCCTTGGCCTCTATGTCTTCTTGTTGGCCCTCTAGAATAAGCAGTTGGCCATATTTGAGACAGAATGCTGGAGTCGATGGACCACTGGTCTGATCCAGCAGAGCTCTCCTTATGTTCTTACAAACGGTCATCCCGCCATATCTTCACAATAATCCTTTGGATATGACAGAGGGGGTCAGTGATCACAGCCATCCAGAGGCTGCTCTGAGCAGGTCCTCTGAAGAGGCAGCATAGAAATATTTTAAATAAATAAATCATACTCCTTTTGTTGAGGAGGACTGTGGAGGCTTTGTATGGGACTTGCAGTGAATAATAATAATAATCATCATCATCATCAGCTGTCAAATCATAACTGACTCATGGCAACCCTTCATGGGGTTTTCAAGGCAAGAGATGAGCAGAGGTGGTGGCCATTGTCTTCCTCTGCATAGCAACCCTGGTCTTCCTTGACTCTGCTGAGCTTCCAGGCTCTGATGAGCTCAGGCTAGTCTGGGCTATTCAGGCTGCTACTACAATACACACTATTATAGTGCCACAAAATCCCTGGGTTCAGCCGTTCCTAATCAAGGGCATCCCAGAAGTTTTAGGTCCTCTCTTAAAAACTTCCACAGTGCTCCTAGGGACTGTTTGAATTGCCTTTGGTTTCCCATTTTGCACTGTGGCAATGCAGTCGGCACACACACACACAAAGACATACCAGTTCTTTTAACTCCCTCTGTCTGTCACAGAGCTGCTCATACATTTTTTTCCCCACGTCGGTGCTCTCGAGAGTTGATATGATCTGAAGCTGGGTGTCTTTGTTGTCGATAATGTTGTATTCGAGCATCAGGCATAGAATCTGGCAGCAGAAAGATAAAGAGGTTGGCTGTGGGAGGGCTCCTTGCAGACCGTGCATCGAGGGTGACAAGCAGTGCTTTGAACGTTTGCTCAAATCATTTCCATCGTTTTAGTCGCCATGTTTTACCAACCTGCCCGCCCACCCCTTCCCTGAGGAGCACTGACACAATGGAGGGATTTACTCCATTTTATTTTCACAACGGGTTGGAATGAGAGAGGGTGGCCGGTCCAAGATTACAAAGTGAACTTTGTGGAGGGGGTATAGTTTCGAGCACGCTCATTTCATTTGGCTTGTTTCAAACCTCTGGTTCCCACCGTAAATGAAAGGGTTTGGTACCCTTCCGATTGGCACCCTCCATCCGACAGGAAAATATCAGTAGTACTTTGGGTATTACCTCCACCATAGTCTGGTTGCCTCTCAAAGCTAGCAGCATACAAGGTCCGAGTTTGTTTTCCGCAAGAGAGAGCAGGAACTTTTTCGTCTTATAACAAGAGCCCATTAAAATATGGACCTGGAAGAAGGAAAGAGAGGTTCACGTTAGAAAAATCAGGCTTTTTCAGAATGGTGGTACTCTTCTTTAAGAGATGCTGATGCAGATTCATCAACAAATCACTGGCTTATCATTCCCAACAGGGACGGAGTTCGGTAAATCCACTGAAAGGTTGTTTTTAAAGTCTCCTTCGATCACTGATCCTTTCAACCCTGCCCAGGGATTGTTCCCAGGGAAAAAAAAAATCAGGAGTGGGTCTGGAACTTGTGATTACACCCATTTGCTTGGTCCCTTTTCACTGTGGGGGGTGAGCCAGCTTGCACAAAACCTGTGGTCCACCCCCTCTGTCTCCCTGGGCAACAGTCTGGGAAGACTAGAGGAAAGGCCCACAGGCCCAAAAATGCATATTAATTTTGCTTGCATGTGCTCTCTCAAACATGTGTAGGCAAGGTGGGATATAAATCGAAAATAATAAATTAAATAAATAAATAAAACATGCTATCTTTTTCTCCTCCTAGTTGCAAGACTCTCCCAGACGTTCCAATCAGAAAACGCACTCTGGGATTTGCAAAAGAAAGGGTTGGGGCAATTTGCACAGGGGAAGCTGCTGATTTGCTTTCTTTCTTTTTAAAAACAACAACAACAAAGCAGCCAGACAACATTGATTCAGACACCCCTAGCAGAGATAGAAGACACAAGCTGTCTTCATATCCCTTTGGGAAACCTGCACATGACTGTCAGAGGCGGTCATTTCTGGAGAGACTCTTTGGAACTGCGCAAGCCCACGCCCTGTCCCGTTACCGACACATACCATGCTGGCAAACAGCTCCCCATCATCATCGCAAGCCACCCCGCTGGGGCTGTAGAGTTGAAACCAGCCATCCTTGCCAGCTCGAACGCTCAGCAAACACGAATGGACCTGGTGAACAAAGCAAAACGGAAGGTGAGGATTTCTCTCCACAGTGCAACTGACTCTCTCTGTCCTCCTGCAGAGAAGAAAGCTGGTAAATAAGACAGTGGGCATAAAGAAGCTCTTCCAATGGCAAGAGGCTCCTTCCGAAGGAGGAAAGAGCGTCAGCCAGCAGGAGGGATCAGTTGGAGTCCAACCCAGTACTGTTTACATTGGAGGGGTGACCCGCACATATAATTAAAAAAAATCAGCATTAAAGGTGACCGTACAGGAGCTTTCCCTTGCTCCCAATATGGTGCATCAAACGGGTGTGTGGAAAGAATTCTACAAATAGTGAGGGTAACATAACAACTGAACTGGTGTGAAGAGGGCGAAACCAGACCCTTACTTTGGACAATGGAATTAATCTGACTTGGGGCAGATCATATATTACTGATGTTATGACACCAACAGGGACCGTGTGAGAGGTGAGTCTGAAAGTGGCTCCCAACCTATACAGCCTCTCCTTCAGTGCATGCTCTCAGTCATCTTGGTGAGATCTTGTAGGGTTGCCTTCACACGTTATTGGATACTGTGCTACAGGTGTATCAGTTGCACCTGGATCGTTTGACTCACTCAGGTAAATCCACTTGCAAATGACTGTGACAGTGCAATGACAGTGCACTTTCCAACCACGTTTGTGGATGCAGCTCCAAATGGTAAACAGAGCAAAGCCTCAGCGTGTTTGTCTTGGCTATTTCAGCAGATCAGGGGAGGTTGGAAGAACCGCTTGTTTCATACAGGAAATTAAATCGTGTTGGTTAAGGGACCTGTACATCAACAACAGGTCTCAGACATTCAGGGCCGGGTGTGTGTTTACATAGGAGGCATGAGGTCATTTCTAATATGTCTGTCTAGATCCCCAAGGACTGATATTGTTGGGGCCAAAATCAAGGCAGCCAAGCAGAGAGGCCCCTTCCAAGTTGGAGCTACTTAAAGGATGAGCATTTTGACAAACAACACTCCTCTCCCCTTTGATCACTGGTCTGGAAAGAGACTTACTTCTTGTCTTGGATCTTCTGCGAATCTTTGAATGACGTATTTCAGCTCCCTTCAAAGGGCAAAAAGATAAAACAAAAGCAGAGAGAGAGAGAGAGAGAGAGAGAGAGAGAGAGAGATGACTGAGTGTTGGTCAGCTACAAAATTTATACAGCTGTCTCCTTTCATTTTGGTTACACTTAAGAGTGATGGATAGCCCCTTTTCCGGAAAGGGGCGGAGAAATTTCTGAAGAAGAAACTATGAAAGTCTTAAGGAGTGACCCCAAAGATTGGGTTTATAGGCCAGGGAAGAGCAATGTGAGTGCCTTGAACATTCAAGCATTGCAAAGTCGCCCCCCAAGTTGTTTGGCCAGACCTCCAGCCCTTTCCCATCTCCAGGATCAGCTCCTCCTACAACCAGGCAAGGTATTCATTCACACTAGTCATGCAGAACTAAAAATTCAGTTAAAAAAACCCCTACAGGTGAAAAATTAGCAATTCAGCTAAAGAGCTAGGCTAGAATTCTCTCTCTCTCTGTTAGTTTTCCAAGCAGATGGGGCTATTTTTGCTTTGAGGTGCATTCACACATACAGTTCTCCCCACCAGTCCTCAAAAGCGTGGTGCCATTCTGAATGTGCTGATCGCTGCAGTTTCTGTGTGAATCCCAGGAGGATTCAGAATCACTCCCCGCTGCTTGTAGTCTCCAAGGCTTTTGGCCCCACGGATCCTGATTTTAAATTTACTTTTATTTGAGAAGATTTAACAGGAACGTTTTTCTTTCAGGACAATGGGAGCCTTCAGAGCCTAGCAGGAATTACCTCAGTAACTGCCATGGCCGGCCTGCTCTGAAGACCCTCTGCTTCACTGGGCTTTCCCTCAAGACGACATTTTCCTTTGGAAGCCACATTGCTATGGCTGCCAATCACCAAAACCCAGCAACTATAGGGGTGCCGGGGTCCGCTCATTGCTCCAGTGGGGAGCGTTTCGGGGATGGGCAGGGAAGTCATGCAATGTCCCCCGATGTGATGACGTCACCTGGAAGTGACATCATGAGGGGACACTCTGGTATTTGGGTGCAACTCTACAGCTTTTCCCGCCTTCAAACCATAGAGTTGGCCCAAATACCAGTGTCCCAGAATAATGCCCCCAAAGTGATGACATCACTTCTGGGTGATGTCATCACCTTGGGGATGTCGTGTGGTGAAAGGGTTTCCCCCACCAGCCAGCTGCTCTGCAGTGGGGAGAAGCCCCTGAATCTGGGGGATCCTCCACCCGGACCTGGGGGCTGGCAAGCCTAGGCATTGGACACTGATATACTATGCCAATTGCTGATTTTTTATTTTTTTTAAAAAAGCTTCAAAAAGCACCCCCGCCCCCCGGGGGGGGGGGGGGGGGGGGGGGCTGCCACAAAGGCAGGAAAAATGGCTGCTGTCCAGGAAGGTGGGACTGAAAATCCAAACTTTACCTACCTGCAGCAGCTCTGTTGTGATCTGTGATCTTTCCCAAAACCATGCAGCTAAGCAGGTTTGGCAAAGATTACGGTGACGTTGAGGGAAAGCCAGGTGATGCACAGAAACGCTATGATGCTGTGGGGAAGCCGGGGGGGGGGGGGACCACTTTCCCAAAGCATCCGACCTGGAGCAACCAGCCAGTGTGGGAAGTGCCACTGTCTGCAGGGTCACGTGAATGCTACAGTTCTGATTCTACGGAACCTCAGAGCTAAGAAGCAAAAAGAACAGTACGCCATGAACCTTTGTTACCTAACTAAAACACTGTAAGCAATCATACAATCACAAGCAAACAAGAACTTACTTTGTGAACTTCTCATGTGCAAGAGCCCTGAAATGAAACACACAACGCCGTTAGCTTTCTTCAGGACCCCCTTTTTCTTCATACAATAACCATGACTATACAGATTCTGAATACAGAGTTGGGCCAAGGCTAGCCCGGTCTCATCAGGCCTTGGAAGCTAAGCAAGGTCGGCCCTGGCCAGTATTTGGATGGGAGACCAAGGATGGGATGGGAGACTGAGGAATACCAGGGTCGTGATACAGTGGCAGGCAATGGCAAACCATCTTTGAACACCTCTTGTTTTGAAAACCCTACGGGGTCGCCACAAGTCAGCTGTGACCTGACGACACTTTCCACCACCATACAGATTCTGTAAACATTCAGAACAAGAAGCATTGTATGAATTGGACTATATGAAAAGAGCAGAACACCCTGCGTTTTTAATTTACTATAAAGAAAGAAATGGAGGGGGGAAGCCTTTTTTTCAATGAGTCAAACAAACAAACAGCGCAAAAACTAAAGTCATAGATCAGTTACAGGGAATTCTGAACACTATCACCTTGTGTAGAGAGTACAGTTTCTCTTAATAGTTTCCTGCAATCTCGTGGGAGAATGTTCTTTCCACCACAAAGGTGGTTATCAAAATGGAGTATCCTCTTGTTAGACATTCCATGAGGCTGTGTTTCAAATGTGCGAGTTGCCTTTACACAGCACATATTGGCTTTTCACTGTTTGCTCTGGGTTTTAACTACCTCAGTGACTCACCATGGTTTTGATCTTGCCGCTTTTGCTGTTTTGTTAGGCTGCCTTGAGCTTGCGAAGAAGTAAGACGGGGGCGTAATAAATATTTTAAACAAATAGCCACACGTGAAAAGGGTCACTTGAAACGTGGCACTGGAGGGCAGTTTTACGGATACCGCAGACTGCCAAAAATAAAAATAACTGAGTTCTTGATCAAATCAAGCCTGAGCTCTCCCTAGAAGCTAAAATGACTAAACTGAGGCTATATTACTTTGGTCACATTATGAGAAGGCAAAAGAGTCACTGGAAAAGACAATAATGCTAAGAAAAGTTGAAGGCAGCAGGAAAAGAAGAAGACCCAACATGAGATGGATTGACTCCCATCAAGGAAGCCACAAAGTCCCTCAGTTTGCAAGAACCGAGCAAGGCTGTTATCTATAGGCGTTCTGGAGGTCACTAATTCACAAGGTCACCATAGGTTGGAAGTTATTTGATGGCACCTACACACACCACTTGAGAAGAAACGGACTCCTCTCCCAATGAAATGCCTACATTGTTTCATACGGCATTCCCACAGTAATCCCTCCTTCCTGCCTAATATTTTGGGTTTTTTAAAAAATCTTAGCTCTAGTTAATTGTTTTAATGATGTGTTTTTGTTAGTTTTAGTTGTTTTTAAGATGTGGTTTTATGATGTGTGTTTCAATCTGCCCGGGGGGGGGGGGGGCTTATGAGGGCAGGGTATACATTTAAATAAAGAAAACAAATAATGTACTCTCTTTATGGAAATACTGAATGGAGTCCCAGCCTACTTTACATGTTGCTGGCGCTTGAATTACATTGGAGGGGGGGGGGCTTTCCCATCCCTTGTTTTCTAAAGCTGCAACTCTACTCATGGTTGTCCAGGACAAAGAGAGACACAAGCACAGATGCAGCCAATGGAACGCCCTAGTAATATGGGAATGCTGCTTGGGAACAGTAGCCGATAGAAAAAGAGCATTTCAGGGTAGCTGGGGGAATTGAACCTACCTCACAAATGTGGATGGGTAATAATGGGGCAGAACCCCGAGATGGGAGAATGGGCTCCCCCCACTTCAGATGGCAGGTGGCGGATTCCAGGTTTTAATATTTCTTCACTTTTTTCTTTAAAAAAAAAAAACCCAACTCCACACAAGCAGAAAACTCGCACACAGCAGGAAAGGTCTAGTCCTCCACTTTCCTTGCTGGGCCGGTTTTCTGTTTCAGGGAGTTTATTAATATAATGGAGCATCCCAAAATGTGATCCCCCCCGCAATAATAGAGTCCAGGCCTGCTACTCAAGTTGTGTTGATGGGAACTCCCTCCCCCTCGTCCATGTGTCTGAAAGTAGAAGTGAAATGTTTCTAAACGCCTCGATGCAACTTTGAAAAATTTTAATCTGGTGACTGAGCCAAATGTTTTTTTACTGCATCCAATCACTTGCCTGTTGAGTCAAGTTGCCACAATAAACAGGCTTGCTCCTTTTGCTGGTGAAATAAAAATTTATAAAATGGGTCTGGGACACGCCCATACTTCTTCCCCTGCCTATGCTATGACGCCTTTCTAGAACTGCAGTTGAAATATTCTGCACGCCCTGCTTAGGAGGCTGGCTGTTTTCAGACTGTGTTGAAGTTCCAGGAAGACATCACTTAATTGTTTTTTAACACACTATTGTTTACCTAAAAACCATTCTTCCTTCAGGGATAACCGCAGCTAAATAAATGATGATCAAAGGATTTCTGGTTTGTTAGGCATCAGATTATGCTACAGCCCAAATAAGATTGCATTCAGAGGTCATGACAAACCTTCCCTCATGACAGGTGTCAGCTCAGCTTGTTGCCAGTGCCCGCAAGCTCCTTTCTCCTCCTCACATGAAGCACAGCACACCTTCGATTAAATTCCATTTTGCCCTGTTGTTCTAATGGTGTCCTGGTGTAGGATCTTGGTTTGTGTGAAGAAACCAGTTTGCCCAGGCACCGGCATTTGGACATTCCAGAATACTGGAATTTGATTAACAAAATCTGAATCCAGTAAAGGGTTGCCATCCCCCCGAAGGCAGGGTTTGCCCCACTTTTGGGGCCCCCAATCTGCTGAGGGAGACCTGCTTCTGAAGAGCCCCACTGCACCTGACATGATGACATCACCTGGACATAACGTAATTGAGAAGGCACATTGTGTGGGGGATGCTCTAGCATTTGGGTAAAAACTCTATGGTGACCATAGAATTTTTTTACCCAAATGCTAGAGCATCCCCTGAATGACATGCCTGGCACAAAGATGTCACTTCCGGGTGATTTCATTGTGGCGCATATGCGAGACCCTGGAAGCTGGGCTGGAGTCCCCCACCTGGACACAGGTAAGACCTGGCAACCCTAGTCCAGTAGCACCTTTAAGACCAACAAGAGTTCCAGGGTATAAGCTTTCAAGAGTCAAAGCTCCCTGGGGAGCTTTGTTGCTCTTTAAAGTACTACTGGATTCAAATTTTGCTTTTGCACTGCAGATCAACATGGCCACCCACCTGAAAACTATCTTCATGGAGTCTCTGGGGAGATGTAGACAGAGCAGACAATACTGGGTGAAATGGACCTAAGGTCTGATCCATCGGCCCAGGATCCAAAGCTGGTTTATCATTCACATTTAGTCCTAACTATGGTTTTATGTGATGCATAAACCGAAACATGCTGGCTTGATCCTGTTTTAATCCAGGTTTGTTCCTAAATGACCTGGTAGAGAGAGAAGGCCGTGAAACCAGCATTTGTTCAAGCAAACCAGAATTTGAGTGATCGCCTGTGAGCTCCATCCTGTCACATGAAACTGTAGTGACCTGAGCCAGTATAAGACATATTTATTTATTTATTTAATTAGACTTCTAGGCCGCCCTCCCCTGTGCCACGAGGCTCAGGGCAGGTAACGACGACTTAAAAACAGTATCATTAATTATTAAAACAATTTAACATAATAGCAATCAAAGATAAAATCAGATGGCGACATAGGCACTAATACAATTTAACCAGGTGAGGTTGCGCAAGCTGTGTGTCTGTAAAAAGCTGGAACACAGTGCAGTGAATGGCTGGGAGGGGGGCTGGGGGAGGCCAAATCAGATGGAAACTTTGCTGCCTCAACCGTACGCCCGGCAGAGCATGCCTTTACATGTTCATATGACGTCAAAGCAGCAACTGCCAGGTAGACAGGACCCCAAGCAGAGGTGAGTATTTACACTATCTATGTGTCCTTGGGCAATAAAATTTATCCTACTGAAGCTGTTAGTTTCCAACTGGAAACTGAAAATGCTGAATAACTGGTGTAGCTCTAGTTGAGGTATACATACATTCTGTTCCAACCCCCCCCCCCCGAAGATTAGCTGAAGAGAATATCCTTGAATATAACATGCAGCCCATTTGCTAGAGAGTATTGCCTTATCACGAAACCACACCTGCCATTTTCATACCAAATGGATTTTCACTTGGGTGAGTTTGCATCTGCCACAGGTTTTAGAAGAAACTTATCAAGGGTGGGTTCTCCAAAGGAGTTCCATGTGACAGATGAAAGCCTGTGAAGCGCAGGCAGAAACTGGCACCACTGGGACGTTCTGCAGTAAAAAAATTTAAGACCTTCTGTCGGCAAACGAACTAAAGCTGAAATTAACCTACAGGGAAATTCCATCATAGAAGAAGCTAATGGAAACTTTCAGTGACAGAAATTGCACACTCGTAAACAGGATTTTTTGCTCCGTCCCAATCCCAGGTGTGTTCATTAATTGCGCTGCAATTAAGGTACGGTCACATCTAATTAGCATTGCACATTAGTACAACCATTAATGGTCATTCTCGCAGAGGGCGTTGCATCATGATATCGATTCGTAATCTGCCCTGGGGGCCTTTTGCTAGAACAACTCACTCAAGTAAAACAATGCAGGGTGCTGCTCGGCCCGCCCAGCCTTCCCGAAGCTCACACAGTTGTGAAGCTAGGCCTTCTAAGGCACCAAAGGCACCGAGGGATGTGATAAGCTGGCAAATTGGACAATTACAGGCTGTAATGTTCACCCCTCTGAGATCTGCATTTCATAAACATCGGCGTCATTAATGGGTTTCAGAGGGAGGCTATCAACGTCTCTTCTGCGGTATCCAAAGAGTGCTTATGGAACAAAGAAAGTTTTTGTTATTTTAATGATGCACCCTTGTACTTGTTCTCCATGTACGTCAGCACAATCACTCGTTTTGCTACGGTATCCTACTAGATAACCAATCCCATCCACTAGTTGCTTTCTGGGAAGCAGTTTCAGTCCACTGAGAGTCTTGGGCTAACAGGATCCACCCCTAACTACTCCCTTCACCATGAGCAGTAAGTAAGTGATGAAGTGGCCTATACTGCAGTTAGGCTGAAAGGAGGAGAAGACAGAAAGAGATCGTCTTTCAGGAAGTGCTCTGAGCTCTGGCCTTTTGAATCAGAACTGTCAAGTATACCAATACATCAAGTGAAGGTCTTTGGTTTCAACTGTCCCCTTCGAACTTTATCCTTTCTGCTCAGGGTTGCATCTTCTGACTGGGAAAGCTAATGAAGCATCCCACACAGAGGCAGAGAAGGTGGCAGCAGTGGGCAGGAGGGGGAGGCACCAGCAGCATGCAGGAGAGCCAGTGGGAGGGGCAAGACTGAAGGGCAGCATTTGATTTGCTGGTAGTTCTAACAGTTGATGTCTGGAGGCAGTGAGGAGGAGGAGCCAGTGAGGAGGAGGAGCCAGTGAGGAGGAGCCAGACTGAAGCTGTTTGACCAGAACTCGATTTTCTGGTACACTTGACGATTCACACTTGGAGATAGGCTCAGACTGCATGTGAAGAAGGCTCTCAGAGCTCTCTTTATTGATTAAACTAGTTATATCCCCCCCCCTTTCCTCGAGGCTCAAGGCAATTTACAAATCACAGTTTCAAGTTTGCATCCATCTTCAAGCTCATTTCAACCCCCCTTTAACTTTTCAGACTTTGTTTTCAGGGCAACACCGATCAGTGTTAAGCATGCTCAACATAGGTCCTGGTCACACGGGCAGGAAAATGCGGGGGGGGGGGGAAGTGTGGCTGTTTGCCCCGGAGCAAAGTAACGTGCGGCAGCCCGATCACATGTCCCGTCGAGGTCCCGTGGCTAGGCCGTTAGGTGCCGATCACACGGCTATCCTGCAGCGCGGCAAAGAAGCGGAATGGCGTGATCACACCGGCAATCACTAGGCGCCACTTCCGTGGCAAACGGGAATTTTTTTCCACACCAAAATTTGCACATGCGCACGATCGTTTGTGCGCACCCTGTGGAGACTTACAAAAAAACCACATCCAGTGTGCGACGGGAAATGGACGGGCGCCAGATGCCATAGGATTCAAGCGGAAACGTGATCAGACGCCCACCCTTGCCCCGCATTTTCTGGAAACTAGTACATCGTATGTGGTAGTTTTTTACTCCACATCTTCGGCGAGAAGCCACAGGTTAGCCACGAGCGTACTACGCTTCCCAGATGTTGCAGTGTGATCGCGCACCGAAAATCCGCCTATCATCCGTGTCTTTAGCGCGGCAACTTCTCCATGTGAATGGGACCATGGTTGAGTTGTCCAACTGAAGTTCAGGGGGATGGGAGGGATTTTGCCTGAGGGAGGGACACTGAACACAGGGAGGGCTTATTCCTGATGCAAAAAGGCCAAATTCACAGAACAGGAAAGCCAGCATTAGGCCTCTAGTTCTAGATGGTTAAATGCAATTTAAAAGCGCCAGTCTCCCTCAACTTTGCATGCATGTTTATCAGATTATTCTGTATGTCTTATTTTAGTTTGTTTTTTATTGCAGACTAGCAAAATGCATGCCATTACAGAGGTGATGGAAAGTGAAATCAAGTTACAGCTGACTTAGGGTGACCCGGTAAGATTTGCCATTGACTGCCTCTGCGTAGCAACCCTGGACTTCCTTGGTTGCCTCCAACCCCACTACTAACCAGGGCTGACCCTGCTTAGTTTCTGAGATCCAAGGAGATTGGACTAGCCTGGGCCATCCAGCTCAAGCGCATTACACAGAGAGAAAAAGTTTGTGTACTGTTCAGCAG